AAAGAAAAGAAGAGCATATTCCACAAATCCGTAGTGCCGTAGAGTTGTCACCGCAATTTCAGCCTCTTCATCCTATCTAGTCTCCTGAAATAGTCCCCCACTAACATCACATTGACTACACCATTAACGGATGACTGCACATACTTTCTTATATATCATATATATATATTTTTTTCATATTTTGATGGATATTTTTTGGGGTTGATTTGAGAAAAAAAAAAAACTTTAGAACTTTGAGGGGTTCTGCACAAAGCCCCCCGTACTCTTTTTATTCCACGAACTCGCGAGTCGTTGTAAATCTTGAAGCATAGTTGGGGGTCACATAGGAGCGGATGACATCACAACTCCATGAGAAAAACCTTTTCAGCTCTGCACGAGGCCTTGGCAGCCAAAGAAGAATGAGGGGTGTTGGATACAAGTTCTTTGATTTTATTTGTTAGGCGTAAGTTTAAAAGGAGGTAATACACATTTTAACTTACGCTCTAACTTTGACAGTTTTTGTCAGATTTGACAGCTTTCCTCTAACTTTCTCCTTCAAAAAAAATGAAACAAACAGGCCCTGCACAAAGCCCCCCGTACTCTTTTTATTCCACGAACTCGCGAGTCGTTGTAAATCTTGAAGCATAGTTGGGGGTCACATAGGAGCGGATGACATCACAACTCCATGAGAAAAACCTTTTCAGCTCTGCACGAGGCCTTGGCAGCCAAAGAAGAATGAGGGGTTTTGGATACAAGTTCTTTGATTTTATTTGTTAGGCGTAAGTTTAAAAGGAGGTAATACACATTTTAACTTACGCTCTAACTTTGACAGTTTTTGTCAGATTTGACAGCTTTCCTCTAACTTTCTCCTTCAAAAAAAATGAAACAAACAGGCCCTAACCGTATTATGGCATCCAGCGAAGAAGAATATATACTTCTCCAAATTACTTCACCTGTTTTAAGTGTCGCTTCAAACTTGGGTTAAATTGCGCATAGGCCCCCTCCAAATGTCGATGTTTTTGCCTCTACTTGCTCCCTAAACTAGTTTTAGTTCACATATGCCTCCTAAACTATTGAACTCTTCCTACGCTTGCGCTCTGAAGTCTGAAGTAATTTTGGTCTTCACTTACGCTCTAAACTATTAAATTCGTCACCGCTTACCCCTTGAACAATAACTTTCAACATCTATTTACCGTTCATGTTCATTACTCTGTGGGTGTTTTAACCGGGCAACGTGAGACTGCGGTCGGTAAGCGGGAAATAGTTTAGGGAGCAAGCAGGAACTAAAACCTGTATCTTTTTTTACTCCGTTACCCTCTAGAAAAACCGAGTAATTTTACATTGGGCAGTCAAAATTCCACCTTAGGATAAAAGGAAGGAAAATAAATAAATAAATAAATAAACCCGGAGAGTCGGTGGAAGTGGAGGGGTGACAAGCTCAAGAAGGGTCCCACCAAAGGTAAATCATTTGATAGATGAGTCAGGAACTCAAAAACATAGACACGACATAGTGATGACTGATGGCACAGGAACAAATGTCATGTAGGTTTTAGGGGTTGTTTGGTTGTAAGTTTTTACTATTTAAAAGGATAAAAAGTGTAAAAAAATAGGTTCCAATGTTAGTTTTCCTTCTTTTTAATTGTTTGTTTATAGTTGTGAAAATAATGTAAAGTGATTTACCATGCTGATGTGGCATGGATTCACAAATCCCTTCAAAATAGTCTAATTTTGAAGGAAAACCGACACAAGTGAGGGGCTAGGCCAATGAAATCATTTGAGTAGAGACCACATAATAACCACTTTTTACACTTTCCAAACAAACAATTAAAGTTACATTTTACAAACCAAACAAGCAATTTATGATTTCAATGGAATAAAAAACAAACAAAGAAAAGTTGCTTAGTGAAATTCATGAGGTGGACAACATCTTTCCAAGTTGTGTCATAAATACACAACTTTACCAACAACAACCAAACAGCCGCTTATATACGTGTTATTTGTCATATAGCTGCACAGTACATTGGATGATTCGTCACAATGAGCTACACGAAGTGGAGTATGCTGTCACTAAAAGAGAAGATATAAAGAAGAAAGGGATATAAAGAAGAAAGGGATGGATGTCTCACATGACACATGTGAAGAAAGCCTACCGGGAGATAAAAAGATGGGAGCGAAACTTTCATCGCATCTCTTTTCAAACACAAAGACATGAATTCCTTCAGGCGAAAATTCTTTCTCCAAGTGAACTAGTTCATATTATAATCTTATTAGCTTTAACAAGAAGAACTAAAGGTTAATTTCAGATACTAGGATAGCAGACAGGATACTGGCAATTTACTAGCTAATGAAAAATGAAAGAATAACATAAGTTACCAAAAAAGGGACAAACAGGAAAAAAAAGAGATTTGCTACTTCAAGATGTCTGCAGATAGAATTCTCCACAACATCTTGAACTTGGTTCTTTCAATATCAGGTCTTCGTTTCTCCATTCCAACGATTTCTAACATTTCAGGCTTGCATCAAATGATCTGGAAATAGAATTACCATGTTCTCTCAAACTTTTGAAAATTTTAATTGAATGTGAGCTTATTCATTTTGTTTCCATGATCCAACAGCTGGCATTCTACTAGCTCGAAATGGGCTGGGCATATAAAGATCAACAAACAAGGAGGCAGAGCAAACAATGTAGAAGCTGTCAAGTACAAACTAGGCATGATGCATCTGATAATCAAATTATAATGGTAAATAAAACAAGAAGTTCATCAACAAGCTTCAACAATACTCAGTAGCTATTAAACTCAAAAGAGTAATAAATAAACAGAGTGACTAGATTTAACTCTCACCAACTCAAGCTAAGCACAAAAGAGAGTCGTGCTTAGCCATCAAAGCCTGTAGTAAGATTGCTCAAATTGCTCTAGATTAGCACATCTGAGCTGTCTGAAGCTTTACCAGCATAAAGGCATTCTTCATTTCATCAAGGCAAGGACAACCGTCTGCATACACTTCAAAGCTCGCCTTGAAACTTCTCAATAACCACCTAGACTGTATGCTGTTGACAAGAAATGTTAAGTGCATGTAAATTTGGAGTCAGACTAGCTACATAATTCCCTAGTGACAAAGAAAAACATTTGGTTCTTTAGCTACTTGATTCAATAATAAAATGTCCATATATAATTTGATAATCACCTGGCATGCTAGATGGGGAAATTCATTACAAAAAGTAAAATTATTGCTGTAATCATGCAGACATTTTAGATGTAAGATTTATCTGGTCAAGAAAAGGATGTTTCCTGGTCATAGTTGAAAGGATCAGTGGTGTGGACAGCCCGTGCAGTTCATTTATTTAAGTATTTTACCAGATATCAAAATTGTTGTCTCTCTCTTATTCTAAAACTACTCATTTTGTGTACCAAGACATAGTGACTCAATGACGCATACATATGGCAACAAAACATTTAAATTCTGAAGTGCATGATAAACTGTGGATGAGCAGTCTGGATTATCAATGGGATGATCCCTGTGAAATTGTTTGGGCAAGATTCTTGCTCGGATTCCCATTGGAACCCAGCTCCATTCTATACTTCAATTAAATAGATAATACCCTCATAGAGCCCCAAAAGGTAATCAGCTCATAACTCATTCCAGACTTGAGCGAGGGTTGTAAAACACACCTTTTCAATCCAAATTTCTCAACAAAACACTGTCCTGTAGAAACAAATATATGATCTTTCTGCTGTATGAAAACTTATGAACCACAAAGTTAAGAAATATCAACCTTCATTAATTAGAAACAAGCAAAAGAATCAATCTACAGATCAGATCACCCATGTGCTCACGGACATTGACATGTTCACAGCTCGAGGAAGCATCCAACAGAAAAGAGAGATATTCTTGCAATTAATGTATTATTAACAAATATTGAACAACTTCTCAGAATGACCAATTTTGCTACTTATAGTCCATGGTTCATCAGAATGGTAAAATCAAGATCAAAGGGGAAAGCTCAAAGTAGAGAAAATGCTTCACTATACAATAATGGAGCACGCATGAAGCTGAAAGAAAGATTCAATATGACAGCTATAAGACGAAATGCTGTATATGTAACAGTAGGGCAATTAGGAAACATATCCCAAAATGAGTATTGCAGAAATCATAATATTGAGAGGATAGGTGAAAATAAGCCAAGAGGGAATTAAAAAAAAGAACTGAGTAATCCAGAAAAGGCTAGAGCTTCCTATTGCCGCGATAAACTGAGGGACAACTACTCTGAGATGGTTGGCATGCACAGTGAAGAATATCCAAATAAGGATAAGTAATAGTAGCAAAGATAAATAAGGCAACCATGAATAGCGATAGGCCACGATACAGTAGTTGCCACGATACAGTAGTTATTAATTTAACAGAGGAGGTTGCTTGTTAGAGCTATAGGAAGTAACAATTATGTGCATACAGTGAATAAGGTGTCCTTATATTTGCAGATCATATTGGGTAGTTAAACATCTTGAAGAGAATCGTAAATACATGCATCTATAAAGAACATGTGTGCCAAATTATTTTGCCTCTTGCAATACAATACCAACGATGCAAACATCCATTATTAATATATGGAGCACTCAATAAATAACAAATGAACAAAGGCTCGGAAACAACAATGATCACTAAACGCTGCAACAGTCCCATAACATACAAAACTCACAAAAAAAATAGATTTTAACATCTCAAACATTACTATAGTAACTTAAAACCAAAAGATGTGATTAGTATGCAAAGAATTAGCTCTTAGGATCCACTCTATGTAAACACAGATTATCAAAACATGGAGCACAGGCAATGATGCTTAAATGTTGTATCCATACAGCATATGCAGCAAAGAACAACACCATAGATTAGATAGCATCTCAAATATCATCACATAGAAGGAACCTAAAACCATGATATTTCACCAACACGGAAGATATTGAACTAAAAACAAGTGACTAAGCACAAAAGAAACATAAACATAGCATATAAGAAAATATACCTCAAATCTTAATGATTTTCGCAGCTCTAACCAAAGGATTAGCCTTAGAGATCTCTTCCCTTCCCAAAGCCTTATAATCAAAAGAGCAATCATGGGTCTCAGAATATCGGTGCCGGGAACAAAATAAATCACCACATCGGCACCGGAATCCAGTGAGACCAACCTTTCTCTTGCAACTAGAGCACCTATTACTAAATTGAACTGAAGGCTGAGATTCTTTCTCAGCCTTAACTTTACAAGAGATTTCAGCTGCAGTCTTTTCAGGCTTTTGAGCTGAAAATTCTTGAGGAGATTTCAAACATAAAGAAGCAGAAGCTCCTGATGATGGTGGGTTATTGATAGAAGTAGTCGTAGGTTGAGAAGGAGGAGGAGAAGAGGGTTTGAGGATCTCAGCTTCATCTTTGTCAAGATTACAGCTTTCTTGTGCCATTTTATTATTCCAAAGGAGTTGAATTTGAATAGAGATCAATGGAAAGGATTAGCTGAAAATTACTGATGAACACAATAGATGACTTAAAATCTGATTTAAAAAACAAAGAGACTACTTAAAGGAATTCGAAATTTGACCGACAAAGATGAGAACCTCAAGATAAATGACAAATTTAAGCTTTATGGTAGCTTTTTATGAGGAAAACTCAGAAAATTTAGCTAAAAAACCAAGAGAGAAATATGAATTTGGAGAACGAAGGACAAACAAAGGAGAGAACTTTCTGATGGAATATAGAATTTGAGGAAAAAATTACAAAAGATATGAGCAGAATAGGCTCAACATGAGACTTTTAAATAGAAAATTACAACACACAGCTTATATAAACAAGGAAACGAAGTAAACAAGCAATTGAGAGTTTTTTGTAGATGGAATTGATAAAAAAATGAAAACCCACAGAAGATTTGAGCTCTAGAACACTAATTTGGGAGCTTTATTAGATGATCAATCCCCTCAAAAAGAGAGATCAAAGACCCCAAATTGGACACAGAGAGACAAAATTACAACCTAATTCAAGATATACAGGAAGAAATTACTAGAAATAGAACGATCCGATCGATCGAACTGAGGGATTTCAAGCTGAATTTCGAGAAATGGGGGAGAAAAAGGAAAGGTAAAGGTGGCAGCTTTGGAAGCGGTGGACGAAAAATAATAAAATAAAGAATAAAGATAACTAATCAATAAAATTATTAGTGATTAATTAATTGACGGTTATTTGCATATATACCCCTAAAATCATAGCTATTTTCAAATACACTCTCCAAACCTCAATATTTACAAAGCTACCCCTGGCATCATCAATTTCGAAAAAATTACCCTCAAATCAATTAACCAACAAAATTTGATAAGCTGATTTGTAATCATAATATAAACATTATCAGTATATAGTTAAATTTTTAGCACTATGTTGATGATTTATTGATTCTATGGATATATTTTTAATGAAGTTGATGATTTGAGTGATAGTTTTGTAAAGATTTGAGAGGTATAGCAAATACCTATAATGTAGGAGGTATATATGCAAATAACCCCCAATATATTGAAAGTATTAATGTCCCCTGTGAGAGTTTGAAAGGGACTATTATTTATTTGGAACCACCAAACATATTGAATGGTTCATAAAAGTGATGCCTTGTTACGTGAACCACCAAGGAAACTGCATTGTCATGTGTCGACAATTTAGACCAAGTTTTTGCAATTTTACGTTTTTTTTTTCTCATTTTTTTATGGGAAAGATTAGACCAAAAGTTTTATGTTACGCAAGTTGAAGAGGATGGATGATGAGGAAATATTATGATTGAAAAATGAAGCCGGGCAAATACTTTCCTTGGGCAAAGGCTTCTCAGTTAGAAACCACAATGATTCATTAGCATAAGGAGATTAATTTGTTTTTGAAAGCGTAAGGAGATTAATTTAGAAAGCATAACTTTACAATTAAGAACCGTTATAGATATTATATTATGGATGGGCAAGTTATCATGTACATTCGGCACATGATGATTCATTCAACCACTATTGTAAGCCTAGATTAAGTGGTATATCTAGTTGTGAGAAAAATATATTATCCAAATACCCTCTATTGAATATTTGTTGCACCATAATTCCATCATCAACAAGAGAAAAAGAAAACAAAATATGGTCCCATGCAGCATGCTCAACAGTGAAAAATGGGTCATTGATTAGTAGCTCGCTCTACCAGCATTCAACATGTTGTATATTTCCTAATCTCTAGTGTTTTTAAAAGTAGCTTCTAAATTTTTAAAATTTCTATTTTATCACCTCAAAACTCCAAATTGTCGTGATCATCTTACCGATAAATCTAAGTGAAGGTATAATTAATATTCTATCTTCTGCTTCTACTATCTCCTAAACATTGGTCTTAATTAATCACCTTAAAAATAGGATTATTGGACATAAATCACTTTTGATTGTCACTTGACACATAAACCATCTTTAATGAGTTTTGTGTTACAATTCACCATCTAGTATTACTTTTCGTTCAAGTTTTCTTAATAATTGACTCCATCTAACTTCCATTGAGGATCATCTCGGTAACATCTTTGGTAATTGTTAGCTAATCATTACAACAACCATAAAAAAGTACTGCCGGGCCAAAAATTGAGAAGTAAATCAACAAATATAAGAAGAATTTCTATCAAAAAAGAAGAAAGAAAGAAAGAAAGAAAGAAAGAAAGAAAAAAGAGAAAATACAGGTGATAAGCATGAGAAAAACAACATTTGATTAGTCAGATGCTTTTGCATTTTGGTCCCAAACATCAAATATTAATTGGATGTGTAATAATTTTTTTAACTCAACCCAGAATCAAACCCAAAATTGTGGGAGCTATATCAGAACCCCCTAATCATCCGAGTAAGCCACGGGGGTTGTAACAGTACGCTCCGCTGGTACAAAATGAGGCATCCTAGACGGAATATTCCATCTAGAATAGCCAGACTTCTGTCTACGTCTAAAATTCTAGACGGAATTCCTTTTAGAATGTTAGTCTAGTAAGTTTTCGTCTATGATGCAATATTCTAGACGGATTTTCGTCGTCTACAAAACTATCGTACACGGAGAAATATCCTAGACGGAAAACAGAAAAATATCCTAGACGGAAAACAAAACCATCTAGAATATTGCTAGACGAAAGATTTTTCCGTCAAAGAAGCATTCTAGAAGGAAGATGGAATTCCTTCTAGAATATTTCTGTCTGGGAATATTTATCATATCCTAGACAGAAATTCTGTCTGGGACATATCCTAGACAATTTTTTCTGTTTTGAAAAGAAACTTTTTCATATGTTTTCCCCTTGTAATTACATATATTACCTACAAATTCAATAATAATTCAAATCAAACCAAACATGCAAATCCAAATCCAAATCAACATACACATTCCAATACATATACCACATTAGTCATTCCACTCCGATACAAGCCAACCAATATACACAATCTAAGATCAATCACAAATGAATAAACCATCCGCAAAACAACTTTTAATCATATATGCATCCCATGTCACAATATAAAAATATCAAATACATATGTTGTTTGATACATATCATGTCTCTCTCCTACATATAAAATTATCCATCCAATACATAATAAACTAATAAGTCCAATGCACGTGATGCGTGCATGATCTTGTTCACCTGTGAAAAAAATTCAAGCATATAAACGATTGTTGATATAAATTTAATTTCTATAGACTAAATTAGAAAGAAATGATCAAGAAAAAGTACATTAGGAGGAGGTAACAAGAAGAACTAAAAGATGAAAACGAATATATATATATATATATATATAATATATATATATATAGAGAGAGAGAGAAGAGAGAGAGAGAGAGAGGAGAGAAAGAGATGGGTATGTTTTGGTAGCCAAGCACACAAAATTAATGCTTGGTAGCTAAGCGCTGGCATAATCTCTCCACTCATATTCAAAGGTTGCATATCTTTATGACACCTCAATTCATGGTGAATGTGAATCCCCCGCATTTGAATGAGTGGAAGGGGGATTGTGCCACATCCACTCACCAGCACAAAATTTGTGCTTGTACCAAAATTTGTGCTTGTAAGCCCCAAGTATACCCCATATATCTCATAATATACTATATATATAGTTATATACTATATATATATATATATATATAATCTATATATATATATATATATTATAATATATATATCAGAGAAATGAAGAAACTTGGTACAAGTTTGCGTCTTAAGCATATGGTTACGTGAGTGTGCTTAATCCTTATCCTAACATTTACATTGGAGTGGTGAAGAATGGTTCGAGGCCTATCTCGAGGTGTGATGTAGAGGCAAGATTAGGCCCACATCACTTTACCAAACGTTGCCTTAAAAGCAAGCTTGTACCAAGGTTTCTCCATTTCTCTCTCTCCTTCTCTCCATCTCTCTCTCTCGTCTATAGTATAAAACTTCTATATATTATATATATATATGTATATATATATAATATATATATAATATATAGTATATATATAGATAAATCACAAAATTTTATGGGATAAGAGGAGGGGAATGATTGCGGAAAGTTGGGTAGGGTGCATGTTTCAAATTGGTATTATGGGGCGAAGTGGGCATTGGCAGGTGTGGTGTGGGAGGTGTCTTTGCTTTATTTTGATTGATTTCATGCTTCTTCATTTTTCAACTTTGTATTTCCTCTCTATTTTTCAACTTCATATTCTTACACCTGTTTTACAGCTACAACAGGGGCAGTACATTGCACTATTACTTAAATTATTTAGATTCGTTTTGGCATATTTCATGAAGGCTTCACATCCATCCTTATAACGTCGATCACGATACCATTCAATCCTAGGAATATCTATCCATGACTTATCGGGAATTTTCCTCATCTGTAGGTAATATATAATTAGAAACTCTAATTAGTAATAGATAATATAATAATAAATTTTTAAACTATTCAAAACAATATACATACATACACACACAGGGCCGGCCCCGAGCTTTGGGTTGCCCTAGCCCAATCCAATTTTGGTTGCCTTTTATATTAAAAATTTAGTACGAACAATAACGATAAAAATGAATACATATAATACAATTTAGCGTTCTATATTGGGCTCAAACTGATAATATTCTCATGCATAATCAATATTCATATAATAAGAGATTACATTTGTGCTACAATTTAATTCAAAAAAAAATATTTCTCATTGAATTTTTTGAAGCGAATTATTCAATTAAGTCATCATACTCAAGTTTCTCCAAGTATCCATTTTCAATTGATATAATTGTCAATCCATTCAATCGTTTATGTGACATGGTAGTATGAAGATAACTTTTTATCAATTTCAACTTGGAGAAACTTCTCTCCGCCGAGGCAACCGTAAATGGGATAGTTAACAAAATTTGATAAGCAACTCATTCCAAAACATCATAACCCCTAATTCAATTATTCAACAACTAAGATTTAGCCAAGATTCAAAATCAGAAATCTTAATTTCATTGCAAAACATCAAAACCCCAAATTTCTGTCCAAAAAACCCTAAAATTATTCAGTTAAAAAAAATTACCTGATTGGATTGGAGGAGTCAGTGGGGTAAAGCCTAAAGGACGAGTCCGATGGGAGCAGAGTAAGGTCGGACCGTCGGAGGCTCGGGAAGGAGGAGAGGAGCGATTTTCTCTCTTTCTTTTTTTTTCTTTTTTTGTGAGCGGAACAGAGACGGGAAGGAGGAGAGAAAATGTTGACGGAAGGGTTTTGGGTATTCATTAGAGTTCTTTTACAAATAGAACCCCTAATAATTTTTGCATAAAGGTCCTCTTACAAAGTCCACTTCAAAAATCAAAGATAATTACAGTTTGAGGGATGAAGGAGCGGGAGGGATGGATTGCCTCCCGGCCCTGGGTTGCCCCCCGGCCCTGGGTTGCCCCAGCCCCGGGGCTTGGTGGGCTTACCCAGTGCCGACCCTGTACACACATCATCCTTAAACATGATATATACGTACTTGACAGCATTTTTTTTTTGTTAGGGTTAATTTCACAAAATCCTCCTGAACTTTGGGTGTTGCATATCACATACCCCCACCCCAACTCCCCAACTATGTATGTGTCTCACAATACCTTTTAAACTTTACCTTATCTCACCTAGTCTCCCTACATATGGTTTGCAATTAATGAAAATGTTTTTGAGTAAGAAAATCTGAAAATTTAGGAGAGGGGGCTCTATCTTGGTTACGAAGTAGCGCATTTGTTGGTTTAGTTCCCTTAAGTTAAAAAAATGAATTTGGAGTAGTATTTTTGGACTATTGGATGGATATTTGAATTTAATGATTACATATTTGAATTCTTACCAAGTTCTTTTTGGGGTGAAATTCTACGATAAGCATCACATTTAATTGTAGCAGGAGCACTTAAATACGGTATAGCATTTAAGTTGGGCTAATTGAGATATGTTTGAAATGGAAGTAAGGTATGGAGACTAATTAGCATACTCTAGCGGCTGTCATAGGAAGACTTATATTCCATTAAGAATATAATAGTGCTTACATCTAACTTCATATACTTCGTATGTTTTCAGTTCTTAAAAATTTTGGCAGCACCTACCCACTTCTCTCCCTGTACACTGTACGGATGTTATTATGCGTATTTACAATAGACCAAAATGCAGAACAACATACGCTTATTGTACAGAGAGAATAACGGGTACGTGCATGTTGCCGAAATTTTTAAGAAATGAAAACATACAAAGAATACAAAATTGGATGTATGCACTACTATATTCCTAACCCATCCGAGAAGGATAGATCCAATAATTACGAATTTCTATACCAATTCTTTCTTATTATAATATAAAGTAAACGATCATTTTTTGGTAGAAACCTTCATCTCCTACCCAAAGTTGACTCATCTATCTTATATTATAACTCCAAAGAATTGGATGTAATTATTGGGTGGGACTCTAGGGATAATGTTCTAATTTTTTTTACCTAAATTGGATACATAACACAGTATTATATCAATCACTCTATTTTTTGAAAATATTTTATTTAATAAATCACACATTTTCAAATCACAAAACTATAGAATCACATTAGTATAATTTAATTTAGGGTTACATCTAGGATTAGAATTGATTAATAAATTATCCATTTGAATTATGGTAAAATTAAGTTTCGTATTAAAGTATCATTTGATTAGAGCAAAAATATAACTAATTTAGGGTTTACAAAAGATTGTTGCTTCTTCATAAATCAACAAAAAATCTCAATCTTGAATAGACCATAAAGACTCAAACTCACCAAATTCTTATGCCGAACTCGTCCAATTGCTTCAAAATCAACTTCGACTTCCCCTTGCGCTTGGCCCCTACCAACACAGAACCCATCAATATCCAAATCAAGAACAAATAAACTAAACTGCACAAAAATCCCAATCTCTTCAACATCAACCATGATGAAGTTGTGATTAAAAATAGAAAATTTAAAAAATCATCCAAATGAACCTGAGGATGACAGTCAAGAGTCAGGCGGAGCCGAGATCGGTCGAGGGTTTCTTGAGGATGACGATGAGTGAGCTGAGACAACGAAGGCGGCAAGAAAAGGTGGCGACAGCATGGGGAAGAGGCAGCGGCGTGAGGGGGGCGACAGCTGGTGTGAGGCGGCTTGAGGGGCGGCACGGGGAAGAGGCAGCGCGAAGTCGGCAGCGTGAAATGGCAACGACAACGACGAGAAAGGGCGGCGGGGATCAAAGTGTCGGACAGCGGGGTTTTCTCAGGGAGCGGGAATTTTTTGAGAGAGAAGTTAGAAACTGCAAGCGACGGGCTGATCCTAGGATTTCAATTTTGCACTATGTGGGGCCACTATCTTAGACGAAAATTTTCTGTATAGGAAAGCATCATACATGGAAATTTTCCATCTATGATGTACCCTAGACGAAAAATTTCCATCTAGTATGCTTTTCCACCTCGGTTGTTTAACTAGACGGAATTATCCATCTAGGTTGTAGAAACCTAGACGGAAATAATTCAGTCTATTTTGTCTTAACCTAGACGGAAATATTTCCGTCTAGTATAATCCGTCTAGAATAATCCGTCTAGGTTGCTTAATTTTTTACTAGTGTTCAAAGCTGTATAATTAGCTATAAATGAGAAAGAAATTCGATTAACTTTTTCCTTATGATCACATTCTTCAGCAGGCAAGCCCTGAATCAGAACAGCTCTCGTACCAGTGGGACTTTGAAACCAAAAGGCCTTCCTTCAGATGGAGTCTACTGAGATTTGCATCTCAAAGCTTTTAATGCTTAAAGTACTGTACCAACTCTCAATTTTCTTGCTCTAATTCTATATACTCCTAACTTTAGTATAAAGATTGCAAAAGACTTTTAGGATTAATGAAGATTTTTAAGAGTCCGCCATTTTGCGCTCTAAAACTATTATACAACCCAAGACCCATTACAGAAGCTATTTTCTCCTCACTTATTCTTTAAAACACCATAACCAAGCATATACAGGCCAAAGTTAACAAGGGAATATATCTAGGTATAATTAGTAACACTCCACATAAACCTAATATATACCCTGTAAATAAGATAGAAATACAAGGCGACTAAAAAATAAAATCTAATCTTACAAGTAATAAAGGTAGGCTTTCCATAAATTAACACTCTCTTCTACTGCAAAAACTCTCTTGGGTCCGTTACATAGCCTGTCAACGCTTGACAAATAGAACTCGTGATGCTATACGAGTTGAAACAAATTTACTCAGGAGGCGTATCTGCAATAACAGAACTACACAGGGGATCTATTTTCAATTAGACGATAGTACAGGGGGGGTCCATCAGCAAATAACCCATAAAATAATTTACGGGATGTAAGTGGTTACATCATCATAGTTTTAAGGGTGCATCTGCAATTAACCCTTTCCACTATTGTTTAACCTCTGATAGGAGAGATTAACAAAAACTACCACAAAATAAGTTTCAACTGTAATCCAAAGACTTGCAACCCTAACAGAATAACTTGCCTTAGGTTCGTTCATTCGGGCTTAAGTGTCTCGGGGACCACCCGAACAAGCTCCACAATTAGGGCTCGCTGGAACATCATAATCAGATTCCTCGAAATTCTGAGAGCAGGTCTTGCCCGCAGAACCTGGGACTGGGAGGGCATAGAAATCCATCCAAACCTTCAACATGAAGAAAGAAAGCTCTGTTTATCAGCTATACTATCTGTTTTAGGCTGACTTTGATAGTTTGAGGAGTAAACATGCTACCTTTTGGGCGGCAGGCACAAGAAATGTCGGAACTTCCACCTTTTCCCCTGTTTATCAGTAAATGATAAACTAGATCAGTACTCGTTTATAACAAACTCTTCATTTATATGCAACGGATTAAGATTTCCCAAATTAATAAAAAAATTAGTAGATGGTGATTCAATTATAATCGATTAATTAATAATAACATGTGATATCATCTTTCATCTAAATGGATAATTGCAAATCTAAAACCGATTGGACCATGAGAAGAAAAACCTCAACATATAGTTCTAGGAGGAAAAGGGACTGCAACTAGATACTGTCTTGAACAGGTTTGCAGTTCAACAGAAGGAAAATGCTAGAGGCACACCCACCAACCACACCCCCAACTACACTCCTCTCTTGCTACAGTACACTGGGGTCCACATGAGAATTTTAAAGAGGTTCTCATGTGGGTCCCAGTGCACTGTAACGAGAGAGGAGTGTGGTTGGGGGTGTGACTGTAGCGCCACCCTCAACATAATTACTCAAAGAGAACCAGGTGTACAACTGTAAATGAATCAAAAACCATAAAAAAGATTTCCGTTAAAATAAACTATTTATGCATATGGATATCCCTAATATAGAAAGTTGTATTTTTAATATTAAACTCATCTACCCTTCGTTCATTAAGGAAATCAGACCTCCAGGATCTTGCAACCACTCACAAGCTCACTGAGCACATCACCCTGTTTGCTTGGTAAGTTGTCTTGTGGACATGGTCTATAACGCAACAATGATTGTGCTCACTGGCATTACATTTTTCCAATCCAGCACTAGATGCCTAAACGCATGGCTTTCTCTTTCTCAAAAGTTCTAAAGTCTAGATCATTTCATCCAACCACTTTGTTAAACCCCCTTCTCCTTTAGATCGCCGGACAGCTAACAAAGGCTCTTTTCAGTGCTGCAGCTTATTGACATCCAAAGAAACTTAGAAAACTTTGGAAGAAACTCAGTTATACTTCTCTTTTTGCTCTCTAAATATTACAAATAGCCCATTCCGTATCAGAAAGTGTCAATATCATGTTCACAAACCAAACCCAGGTTTTTACATGATTCCTTGGAGTACAAGGAGTTGCATTTATTATTTCCAGACAGAAGAAGCTCAGCATTTATGTCAACAAGGAAATATGAATATAAGTCCAAAAGGTGCAGGAATAGAAGAGATGAAGCATCTGAGCTTATGTTGATAATAAAATTAAATATGCATCTAGAACCGACCCCATAATATGTTAAAAGGGGTATTTTGGTGTTCCAATGAAGAATAATAGCCAGAAAATACTGGGAATATGGTTGAAGACTTGAAGTTGTTTCATAAATTATAGAACTTTTACAAAGCAAGCAGGTTTAACATTTAGTTAGCAGTAAGATAAATTAAACAATTTTATGTGTAATTGCTTCAACACCAGAAGCGAAAACTGAACTTCAATAATTGAACTACGTTAGTTGTAAAATGATGCAATTATATAATTCAAGAACCTACCAAGGCTAGAAAAACCTTTATGGCAGCAAGAAAATCCTCAGTCTTTCCACCAGTGCACGAGGCTATATATATTCTAACAATTTTCACATCTTTGCGCTCTCTTGCTAAAGCATGATTATCAGGAGAATGTGGCTGAAACAACATAAAAACATTAGGAGATGACCGCATGGCAGGTAATTATGTATTATTGAAAATAAACCTGGAAGAAGAAAAATATTTGAATAGCAACTAAATCTTACACACCTTTGCAACCAATGGTTCCAACTTGGAGACATCAAATTTGGGATCATGAAAAAAATCTAAATCATAAGAAAATGACTCATCACAAGACCATATATTATGATAGATTGTAATTTTACATAACAGATAAAATATATGTCATCAAGAAGAATGAATACAGTAATACGTACAAACAAATAAAATGTATTAGAAAAAGTTAGGTAAACAGTGAAGAAGTTTAAAGATTGCTCCCAAGATGTTAAAAGTCAGTATGAGCAAATCAATTTAGGTACAATTCTAGCATCTTTGTGAAGGATAGTTTCATAATTACATGTTGCCAGGGTTTGGGACATGAAAACTCACAATTGCCTGGCATATTCATCACTATATAACGGTTCAAAATTAATGGATGTCTTGTCCTGCATGATAGAAGTTATTGGTAGGAAAACAGTATCAAAGATGTAATTATAAATTGTAAAGCAACTATTAGAGCATGTGTCGCTCCCTCGTAGGGGGCCTGAGTTCAATTCTTGTCTGCACCAAAGGCGCCATCTTAAAAAAAACTATTTAGAGAATGTTAGGCAATTGGTCAAAGTAGACTATAATCCACAAAAATGGATTACAATCCATTTTTAGATGTTTCGCAAGTGAACTAAAATAAGGAGTACACCAGATTATCTTTTGGTGGATTATAATCCAAAAGGTCTGACCGTGTAAAAATGATACATATACCCCTCATCATTTCACAAAATCCTAGGCCTCATTTAATAACTCACCATTAAACCCATGTCTTTTTGGTCATTGTGACAAAAGGGTATATTATAATCCACCTATTTGTCAAACGTTCTACTACTAAAAACATATTATAATCCACCAAATCTTTTTCTAACTCAATAATTAAAAAGATTATAATCCATCAAATATACCAAACACTCTAGACTATAATCCACTTGTAATCCACTTGGGTTATAATCGGTCACGCCCCCAAAATATATAGCTTATTTTGAGATGCATGACAACGGCAACACGTGCGAAAAGCATATACTAAGCTTGATGTGCACTTCCATATCACAATTAAACCTTTCAACAAAAGAAACTTTATTGACAAATAAAAGTCTTAAAGCAAAAACTACATTATAATAAGTTCGCTCTAATGAGTTGAAGACTCTTATTACATATGCATATCAACGTGTCTACGATAACTATAAACTCAGCATCAAAATATTATTTAGACGATCCTTCTCATGTCCCAAACTCCATGTTATAGATAAAGCTGTCTAATACTCATCTGAAAAAAGTTCGAAAACATTGGGGTGAGTTTACACTCAGTAAGTAGATAACTTATCATTAGCAAATCAGACAAGTTTAAGAAAATCTTCAATATTAAATATAAGTTATTGTCACAGAGAACAAATTAGGAAACATACAATTTTTGAACAATAAGAAACTTTCATGAATAGCATGTGACTGTCATGAAAGAATATTCACAAAACTTTAAGAAACAAAATGAATGAGCACTAAATACTTTTAAATTATAAAAATCACACTCTGCAAAGCTTCCTTAGTTGTCACACTAAAGCTAAGAAAATTATAGCCTAATAGCATGAGAATGCGCATCGAATTGCTATAGGTCAATCCGGGAATTGAATGTACCTCGCACTACTATAGGTTTGCCCAAATGCTACTTCACTTTTTGCCAAAATATAGGCTTAAACAAATCACTTCACTCCATAGTGGACTTCTGAGGATTTTAACATTTTACAACATTTTCTTTTCACTCAAAATATCACTTGCAATTTTATTTGTATGAAAAGCCATATAATATACTTTAACACTTTTGTAGACTTTCACATATATTTTTTCATGGAAATAGAATATTCATGAATCTATACTAATTAAATTATATTTGTCAAATGTACAACTTATCAATAGATGTCATATGAACAGTAACTTTAAAACATGTTTCCAATAATTTGCATATTAGATAATACTTATCTTGTTAAAGATAAATAACTACTGAATATCAAATTCTTTACAATGTTTTTATGATTGAAGGTAGTACCGCGAGCTTGTATGCCGCTTCACCAACTCACTGAAGAATTTCAAACAGTCACACAAATCATAGACTCAACTTCCCTCGGATTTCAAATCTCTTCACACCTCTTCTAGGAGATGTAGGCGTCAAAAATTGCCTATAGGTTCCCGCATCGCAGTTCGAGACGGAGAGAAGATGATGAACGTCATTATCCGAATCAAGGAGGATTATCTGACACCAACAAGCGTATGAAGCGAATTGGTGAACCGTTGAGGACGTAGCAACAAGCCACCGCAACAGCAAACCAAACGGCTCACGTGCTCGTCAGCCGTTTCCAAGCTAACAAAACACATAAAGTGAATCGGTGAAACGGACAAGTCAACGAAACGACGAAATACGAGTAATGACGAAACAAGTCCAACCTGAACGAACCGGAAAAGCTCCTAGTGGCTAAGTTGCGTCAAAACGACTCGGCCAAAGCCAGTGGCTCCGCCCTGGCCGCGAGCCACCATTTGCTGGCTCACACAGTTTTGAGTCGAAAACGCATTTTCGACAGGTTGCCGCGGGATTTGATCGTTTCAGAGCCTCCCAACTGCTTTGATACTATCTCTGAACGTGGTTAAGCGGTTGTTAACTGCGAATAACGTCAAATCATCAGATCTTATCTGAAAACAACCGAAGCCTATAAATACAAGCTTAGGACCTTCATTTAAGAGGATCTGAAATCAGAAGACGAGGTGCTGTCAAATTGAAGAGTGTAGCACGAATTTCAGAGGAGGGCTAGCAGATCTTGGCGAACTTTAGATAAAGAGGGAGATATTCGAAGGATCTGAGGCTCGTTTCACCTTTTCTCCGGATCAAACTTGGTTTTGATCTTAAGAGTCATAATCTCGCTTGGTCGAGATTATCACTTCTGCGATTAGTTCCTTTGTGAAGTAAGAGCTTTTAATAATCACTCTGTCAACCGAATCTGATCCGCAGCGGTCAACGGACTAACGCGTTCCCGGCACAGGCAAAGATCCTACGCAAACAACGGGTGATAAACGTCTGTTGTGTGTGTTTTAAGAGAGTTGTAATTTTCGTTTTATTTGTGTAAGCGAGAGATCTTATAAAAAGATTTAACTCCTTTTGAATCTATTGTAATCGATAAACATGTAATGGATTCTACAAATAAAACAACTTTCGACGCGAACACGCTAGCGGCCATAGTGGGAGCCATCGGCAGCATAAGAATGTTAGTTCCAACCGACGTTCAACACTTGAAAGATTGAACATAGCGCCGGTACAACCCGTGATGCTTCATAGCCACGCCTAAGCACCGTCTACTAATCCGTCACTGGTTCGAAGCTGTCGATTCGGGTTCCCAATGTATATCTGATCATACCCGAGCTGATATGCGAACCGGCACGGCACATACGGCTCAATGTAGCAATGGTTTCTCACCCGGAAAATTAGATAATCGGGTCTGATGTTTATTAGCCAATCAAAGTAGCCGACGTCAAGACAGGTTCGACTCGTCCCCGACCTTTCCACGTCAATTAACGAATCGTCATATTGGCCCGAAAACCACGGGAAGCATGTGGAGAAAACCCAACATTTATGATTTTGCAACTGTCTCTTTATTTTTGGGAATCCCCGTCCCTTCCACCTACAATTTTCTATCAACTGCAGTAGGGGAATAGACTGGTCTGCAATGTTTGGCGCTGACATCATGTCAGAGCGATAAAGGACAAACCACGCCATCAGATACGTATAGGGGAACTCTACCTTAGCAAGAGCAATCTGAGCCGATGGTTTGTCTTCTCCCTGTGTGAAGGCACTAACTATTTGGCGAAGCCCACGGTGAATATCAGCAATCATCACCAGGAGAAGGAAAAGATTTTTTCGATGGGCGAGCAGAACAGCTGGGTAAAGTACCTCCATTGGCAGAGCGTCCGTAGACTGATAGGGTACCACACACTTCTTCAACTAAATGGCGAGGTAACCCGCTAACAAAGTCATCGGCTAAATGGGCTTTACCGCCTGCCTATGTAGCACGGACACGGATCCGACACGGCCATCCGACACGCCGACACGAGACAAATCCTAAAAAATACATAGGATATGTGTGTTCGACACGTGTGTCCGACACGGACACGACACGGCTTCATGTTATGCGTGTCCGTGCTTCATAGTGGAACTTAGTTCCTATAGGGAAATCACTCTTAATGCCAGCGGTGGTGTAAGATTGAGCGATGGATTTCTTGATCAGCTCATTAACCTCTGATGGAGTTAACGACGCCAACTCGTAGATCGCTTCGCCGGAGATGCTATCCAAATTCTTGAATAAATAATTCGCGAATCTCTTTAAGCTTATTTGTGGTCGCGGCTATTTTGATAACGGGTCAGCGCCTGCCAGAGCTATTTGGTAATGACAGGTGAGATCCCACAAGGGGTTATAGCGGTTGGGCGCTTGTAGCTTCAACTGATGCAACTCCCGATTTGAAGAAAAATACTCTTGGTACACCATATTCCCCATCAGCAAGCCGGAAACTTTGTGCATCTCGTGAAGAGCTAACCCTAATTCCCTGTGCTTCGTCAGAAAAATATTTGTGTCTGGGATCATAAAGCTCTAGCAACCCAAGAAAATGAGGGATGCTGATCGACAACCCATGCATGGTGGCGCGAATAACTGCATATAAACCGCTGGCTTTCAGCTCTTCATCCCACTGGTTGAGAACATAGCTGGTTAGACGAGCTCACCAGAACTTGCCCGAAGAATGAACCCAACTGTAACACATGTGACCCGTCGCAGGCATTTCCCGCTCCAATCTCGCGAGACGATTCTTCAAAGTGTTAGCAACTGTAAACAGTTCACCTCGCGGCGGGTCATTCAGTCCCAACACATTGGGATGTAATCCGGTGACGAGGTTTCTATCACTTGAGTCGGGAACGGCCTGATGGGTGATGTATTCGCAATGGATGCGGTCATGTTCCTCCGTCAAGTCCCACGATATCTCCCGTGTGACAACTTGGCACCGCAATTCAGTCAGCGAGCAATGACGAGAAATTGAAGGAAGATATAGAAAGCCCCCATCATCTTTGTGCAGCCAATGCTCAGCTTCGAGAGATACGACGGCCGAGTCTTCAACAGAATCGCCGAATAGATAGTCTGGTTTCCTTAAAGAATGAGTAGAGCTGGAATTCTTGACCAGAGGTGCGTCGGTGATCAGCTGTCGTAGGATATGGCGATCTCCCTTCCAAACCAGCTGAGTAAGTCTTCAGGCCCACCCGGAGCGAATTGGGGAATAGCCGGGATAGGCATAGGATCATCAATAGAGGCATAAGCCTCACTGCATCGGCCTTCCACCGCATTGGAGTTAAATGCCTTTGGAGGGAATTCGATTGAAACAAGTAATGCATATTTATTAAACGCAGTTACAAGAATGTCCCTTTTAAGGCAATACAAGCGTTGAACTCATCTCACGGATCTGTGAGATAGAGTCACGGTCCTGTAATTGACGAGACGATTTCAACTATATTAAGTACACGGAGGATAAGCTACATTATCACACAAACAACACGACAATATACATCGTCCTACGTAATGCGATACAGTATGAAATCGCCTCTTATTGCCTTAAGACGCGTATTGACCAAGCAAAACGCATCTTTTAAAGCGTCCACCCTCATAAATGAGGATGTCAGCTCTTCCCAATTGTCTCACCAAGGAGAACAAAGCGGTGATACAATATACGATATATATTAACATTGAATTCACAAACGAAAGGGCAATAAACATGTACCTGTGCAAGCAAAAGGCTCTGGCTCAGGTGACTAAGTAGTTGAGCGACCCCTCAAGACACGCGACCTCTTCAGCGACATGGCTAATCTGCAAAGAAAATCAGTGGTTCAGTTACGTCGAGAAGTGAGAAGCATCAGTCCAATACAAAAAGGGAAATTGCAATTTTTGACTAAAATTCTATAAAAATAGGATTTTCCGATTAAAAATCCAATTAAACCTACGTCATATCCCTAATTCAAGTTGGAGCGGGGGAAATCAAATATGCTAACCTGAAGGAAATAAGCTCGATTTTCATACAAAGTCAAGCGAATGGACGCGACTGTCAACTAAAACTCATGGAGATAATTTGGATTCTCAACCGAGTGTACACAACCAAACGGTTCAAGATTTCGACATCGACAAAGGTTTGAAATTAAGAAGTTTGGTCCAATCTACACGCACAACCAAACTTGGTGACCATACACAAAAAGGAAATCACCATCAAGACATGGGTTTCGCTATCATTCAAAATAAAAAAAAAGGAGTACGACATGTGCGCGAGTTCAGTTTTCGTACATGACTACAAATCTAAACCAGGTGACCAGTTGTAACAAAGCTATAGGGTCCGGTCATGATCACAAATCTCGAGGGTTCAATTAAACCTCGCATACAACCAAGCTTCACGTGCAAAACTCATTTAAACCTTCATCCAAAATCAAGCATCCAAATATAGTCCCCATACAAAATTGAGTTTCAGGGATTTGATTCAGACTCAGTACACATCCAGAGCTTAGGTGATCACCCAAATTCTTAAAGAAGGGTATCCTCGGCCATTGTCGAAATTTAGGACATGGAAGATCAAGTATGCAGGACTAAGGTAACAAGCTCAGATTAACATATGGGCAAAACGTTTCGGCTATCCCACAAAGTTCACAAGGTCATCCAAGACTGAAGCATGAGTATCGACTTAAATTTCAAGCTATATACATGGTTGTGGACAAGAGCTAAGGGTCTCGGCTGTACACAGGTTCTAGAATTAAAGCGCCAACAAATCAAATTAGGGTTTCGGCCCTAACCCCAAACACCCAAAATCGAAGATAAAAAAGCGGGGATGTAGGTCAAAATTGAAGCCATGCAGGAGTGAAGTTCTTACCTGAGTTCGAAGAAGGATTAAGGAGAATGAAGCTTTGCCAAGAGAACCCACAAGTGCTCGAGCCCAAATCAAAATCAAACCGAAACCCTAGCTCCTAATTCGTGAACTTGGTGGGGTTTATGGAAGATTTGGGAGATTTACAGAGAGAGGGAAGGACTAAGAAGAATTCGAGTGGGAGAAGAGTTTGAATATCAAGAGAAACCCGAAAGAAAAGAGGAAGAAGAAGAGGAGATCAGACTCTTAAAACCCCCAAAACCGAACCCTGAACCGAACCCAAATCGAACCCAAACCAACCTTGAACCAACTAGCCCCCAACCTCAGTTGACTCGCACGCATGCGAGCCACCAAATACTGGCTCACAGCGGCTACACTCGCACGAAATGCTGGCTCGCACGTGTGGCGAGCCTCGAGGGTGTTTCGCATACATTTTTGCTCATTTTCGAGTATTTTTTATTTATTCTAGGGGCGTATTCATACTCCAATGGGTATACGAGTCTAAACTGTTTCCTATCCTTAACGGGGAATTTCTGGAGAATATTTTACAGAATATTCTTAAAGATAACCTGATAACCTCCGACGGGTATATGAGGTTAAACTAATTCCTGAAACTCCCAGGAGTATATGAGTATAGACTGGTTCTCGTTCTAACATCTTAAGAACGTAAACTGTGTAGACTCCGGTTAACGTATTAGTATAAACTGTGTTCACGCCGGTCAACGCGTGACGAGGAAGATCGACGCGAGTCAACACCATTCGACGCGAGTCGACGCCATTTAACGTATGATGATGAAAGTCAATAACGGTCAATGCGAGTCAAACCCCGTTCAACGCAAATTGACGCCGATCAACGCGTCGATAGTCTCGCCAAAACAAGGCTCAGGATTATTTTCAATTCCAAATTAACCCGGGAAGTTCAATCGTGATTCAAATGAGAATTCCCGACGAAGATGATCAGTTGAACGTCGATTCAACGACACGAGCTAATTAAAATATCAACACGTAAGTCTAAGTTCGAGATTTCGACGACGGTCAGACGATAAATGCAGCACCGGATGAATTTTAGCTATTCGACAAAATACTGAATGGACTGAAAGCTGAAGAAATCAAAGAACTGAAGGCTAAGTGTATCATATCCAAAGTATTTCAAACTCCTCTATAAAAGAAAGAGCCTGAAACACTTTAGATGAGGTATCTGTAGGCGTAAAAAATTACCTATAGGTTCCTGTATCGCAGTTCGAGACGGAAAGAAGACGATGAACATCATTATCCGAATCAAGAAGGATTATCTGACGCCAACAAGCTCATGAAGCGAATCGACGAACCATTGAGGACGTAAAAACAAGCCAACAAAACGAAAAATCAAATGGCCCGCGTGCTCGTCAGCCGCCTCCAAGCTAACGAAACGCATAAAGCGAAACAGTGAAGCGGACAAGTCAACGAAACAACAAAATGCGAGTAACGATGAAACAAGTCCAACCCGAACGAACCGGAAAAGCCCCGGGTAGCCGAGTCGCGTCAAAACGACTCAGCCAAAGCCAATGGCTCGGCCCAAGGCCGGGGGGAGCCACCATTTGGTGGCTCGCACAGTTTTGAGCCGAAAACACGTTTTCGACGGGTTTTTGCGGAATTTGATCATTTCAGAGCCTCCCAACTGCTTTGATACTATCTCTGAACGTGGTTAAACGGTTATTAACTGCGGATAACGTCAAATCATCAGTTCTTATCCGAAAACACTACAATCGAAGCCTATAAATACAAACCTAGTGCCTTCATTTAAGAGGATCTGAAATCAGAGAGCGAGGTGTTGTCAAATTGAAGAGTGAAGCACGAATTTCAGAGGGCTAGCAGATATTGGCGAACTTCAGCATAAAGAGGGAGATATTTGAAGGATCTGAGGCCCGTTTTACCTTACCTCCGGGTCAAACTTGGTTTTGATCTTGAGAAGAATCATAATCTCGCTTGGTCGAGATTATCACTTTTGCGATTACTTCCTTTGTGAAGTAAGAGCTTTTAATAATCACTCTGTCAACCGGATCTGATCCGCGACGGTCCATGGACTAACGCGTCCCTGGTACAGGCAAAGATCCCACACAAACAGCGGGTGATAAACGTCCGTTATGTGTGTTTAAAAAGAGTTGTAATTTTTGTTTTATTTGTGTAAGCGAGAGATCTTATAAAAAGATCATGTCCTTTTGAATCTATTGTATTTTACAAATAAAACAATTTTCGACGCGAACATGAGACACCTTTAAAAATACATGATCAACTTCTTAAAATTCTAGATCTCTCTTACTACGATCAACATAACTCTTTTGTCGACTTTGTGTATTACGAATATGTTTCCTTATCAAGTAGATCTTGTCTATAGCTTGTTACACCACCTCAGGTCCAAAAGTTTTCTTTCTCCAACATCATCCCAGTGTATATGTGAACTACACTTCCTTCCGTACGGAGCCTCATACAGTGTCATCTTAATGCTTGACTGGTAAATTTTGTTATATGCAAACTCTGCCCATGGTAAATGCTCCTCCTATGATCCTTTCAAATCAAGGATACAACGTCTTAACATATCCTCGAGAGTTTGAATCGTGCTCTCTAACTAACCATACATTTGTGGATGATATGCTGAGCTAAAATAGATTTACTCTGAAGGGCTTTGTGCACACTTTTCCAATACTCAAATACGAATCTAGGATCCTTATCAGATATTATCTCCACTGGTATACCATGAAGTCTGACTATTTCAGCAATATACAATTTCGCAAGCTTCCCCAAGGAAAACTTCATATTGATCAGCAAGAAGTGAGCCGACTTAGTTAGATAGTCCACTTTCCTCTCTTGATTGAAAATAGATACACGAGTTCTAGATAATCAAATCATCCCTAAAGTGATATCATAATCATGCATATCAAGAATGATCAATTCTGTTGGAAGCTCTCTATCCCTTATCTTTATCTTGCTTTTGTAAGACTTATTAGATATCTGTATACTATCTCCTGGTGTGCTAATATGCATTCATGCTCTAGTGTATCTCAAGGAAAATCTTGCTTCCTAACAAATTGTGCAGTAATAAAAGAATGTGGAGCTCCAAAATCAAAGAATACTCGAGCAAAAGTAGAATATATAGGCATGACGCCACATTATTATTTGCCGAGCCTCTTACTTGATTAGAGAGTAAACTCAAGCCTTAGATTGAGAACACTGATCACTTTGAGGTGCCTTATGAATCAAAGTTTCATTCAACTTGGGACAATCTGAAATCTTGTAATCCTTTTGACCACACCTTAGCCAAGTACATTCACTCCCCAACAAGTCTTTGCATCATGGTTTGGCTTATCACATATGGTGCATCTCATCGATTTCTGTTTCATAGTTTGCTTTTCTTTTAAATCCACGTGTTCTCTTTTTTTGCCAGTGCTTATTATTGCCTCCACGCCCGTCTGATCGGAACCTCTTTTTCATATCATCATTCTTGCGTTCATCAATTGAGAATTTCTTCACTCCTTCTCAATCACTAAAGCTTTTTTAATACCCTACATAAATGAAAAGTTTAAAAGAGCTCACTTAAAACCTTATTTCAGGTTGCACTCTCCTTAAAACGACATGCTCTATCTTATTTGATTGCAACAAACAGGGGTGCAAACTTGGATAAATAAGTGAATTCCTCCTCGTACTCGGCAACAATTTTATCATTTTGCTTCAGTTCACAGAATTCCTTCTCCTCCTGGCGAACAGTCTTTGGAAAGTACTTCTCATAGAAGTCTTAGCACCATCTACTAGAATTCTCTACTGCATTTGCCACCAGCTATATGCACGTCCTTTCAACATATAGATTGCATAAGTCACTTTTTCTCCCTCAAGACACCTTATATAAGTAAAGACTTTCTCCATCTCTGTGATCCAGTCTTCAGCTACTATAAAATCAACACTTCCTTCGACGGTAGGCGGTGTCAACCTCTTAAACTCCGCCATACCACTTCGCAATCGAGGATGATCATCATCTCGAGGTTCTTGCTGTTGATTAAATTGTTGCTACTGATTTTGCACTATAGTGGTGAGATTTTGCATCACTTACAACATAGCATTTGCATCCGTTTGATTCACTCCAGAACAAGACCCATGTGCATTTCTATTACCAAAATATTTGCCCTAAAGTCTAGTGAAAATCGCTTTCCCGAGTTGAAAGAGTGCTCGTGGTGTTCCTAACCATCTAGTTATATAGCAAATAACCAATATGTCAATGACCACTAAAAACAACTCTAAAACTTATTTGTAAGCACTACTTTTATAAACTTCTAAGCCTAGAACTTCTAAACCTAAGCTCTAATACCACAACTTGTCACGCCGCAAAATGCGCAACTTATTTTGAGATACATGACAACGGCAACACGTGTGAAAACACATGTTAAGCCAGCTATGCACTTCCACATCACAATTAAACTTTTCAATAAAAGACTTTATTGACATATGGAAGTCCAAGAGAAAAAACTACATTATAACAAGTTCACTCTAATGAGTTGAACACTCTTATTACATAAGCATATCAACATGTCTTAGATAACTATAAACTCAGCATCAAAGCATTATCTAGACGATTCTTCTCATGTCCCAAACTCCATGCTATAGATAAAGCTGTCTAATACTCATTTGAAAAAGACTGAAAATATTAGGGTGAGTTTACACTTAGTGAACAGATAACTCATCATTAGTGAATCAGATAAGTTCATATTGTCAACCAGAACAAATTTGGGAAACATACAAATTTCGAACAATAAGAAACTTTCATGAATAGCATCCGACAGTGTCATAAAAGAGTATTCACAAAACTTTAAAAAAACGAATGAGCACTAAATACTTTTAAATTACAAAAATCACACTCTGCAAAGCTTCCTTAGTTGTCACACTAAAGCTACGGAGATTATAGCCCGATAGCATAGGAATGCGCATCAAATCGCTACAAATCAACTTAAGAACTGAATGTATCTAGTACTACCATAGGTTGCCCAAATGTCACATCACTTTTTGCCAAAAATGGTCACTTTAACAATAGTCGGTACATTCGATGCCATATGATTGGCTTAAACAAATCACTTCACTCCATAGTGGACTTCTGAGGATTTTAACATTTTACAACATTTTCTTTTCACTCAAAATATAACTTGCAACTTCATTTGTACGAAAAGCCATATAATATGCTTTAACACTTTTGTAGACTTTCACATATATTTTTTCAGGAAAATAGAATATTCATGAACCTACATTAATTATATTATGTTTGTCAAATGTACAACTTTTCAATAGATGCTATATGAACAGTAACTTTAAAATATATTTTTAATAATTTGCATATTAGATAATATTTATCTTGTTAAAGATAAATAACTACTCAATATCAAATTCTTTATCAAATTTTCTACGATTGAAACAGAAATAACATGTATGATCCAATAATTTATCTTTACTGAAATAAGACTACTATATATGATAGACTATTTTTATACCAAAATTTTTAATTAAAAAACTAATGATAATAAATCCACTCACCTTGATAAATCTAACAAAAGTTTCATAGAACTATAATCTAAGAAGCTTACTCCTCGATCAAACCTATAAGCATGCAATATACATAAATTTTCTAGCACAACTATGTCAGACATAGAACCAATATTTCTGGTTCTGAGGGGTTTTCTATAATGGTGTGTTTGGGAGATGACTAAGCGAAGGAAGGGAAGGGAAATTTTTTCTCTTCCTTCTCTCCCTTCTTTACCCCCCAATTTGGAGGGTAAGATTTTAGTTCAATTTTCCGTCTCATTCCCTTCTATCCTTCTAAATGGAACTCTCCAACAACGGTAAACCAAAATTTCTCTTCTCCTCCCCTTCTCTATCCTCCATCCAAACAGGCTATAAATATTTTTGTTCTTTGAACAAAGAGGACTTATAACTAAACTATTCTAGCAACAAATCTCTATAGGAAAATTTCCATTCCTCTTCTTCCTATTATGTTTGTTGTCTACACCAGAACCCAAATGGGTTTGGTTGGGTTCGGTGGTCATGGTGGTCACCTCCTGAAGCCACAAATGGCCGGAAGTTGTTAGACATCGTCGGAGATGATGTCAGCGATGGGAAAAAGTTATCTTTTTAACCTATACAGTAACCCATAAAACATAGCAAAAAAATTCACTAACCTTTTGAAGCTCAAATCTCCTTTTTTTCAACTCTCTGTGATCTCTATATTTCTTTCTTTCTTTTTTTTTCGTTTCTTTTAGAGATCATGGGGAATAGTTTTATAAAAAAATCCCTATGGCTTTAGAGCTCTATAACCCCCATCTTAAATGTAATTAATTAAAAAATAAAAGCCCCCTTTAAACTCTTTTCAGTTATAAATTTACTTTATTTAATTGAAGAAAAAGAAAACAAGTCTCTACATAATCGATTTGTGAATTATATAACCCAAGTGGATTATAACCTCAAAGTTCACAAACATGCACAAACATGCACAAAACATAATGATTTCTCAAGAATTTCCTTTCTTAGGTCATGGGTTCAAATCCTCAAAACAGCCTCTTCGCATGCGGGGGTAAGGCTGTGTACATTCTTACCCTCCCCAGAGCCCACAAGGATGGGAGCCTCGTGCACTAGGCTACCCCTTTTTTATTACTAGCATAGTCGCACATGCATATGCATGTGCAAGAGACCCAAAATCATCTTTAATAAATTTCTATATGTCAAAAATACATATTAGATTCAATTATAATGTGAGATTTTAAAACCTGAAGAAACATCCTTTTATCTTATGATGGAAGATAAGATTTTTATCATCTATTAATATCGCATGTATTAGTTTTATTTCTTTTGTTGCTAAATAAGATGCATGTGCCTTATGCACAAAACTTATAATTTGCAACAAAATAAAACTTATATCTTATACTTTTGACATTCTTTGACTCTTTTATACATGTTACTATTCCTGAAAGATATTTATAATTTTCATTTGTATTCCTTTCAGAACCTAAACTATAATAGATAATAGATATGTAATTATATGGACCCAAATAGGCAAATACTATTCATGCAATATTATAGAAAATAAAAAATAAAAAAGGAAAAGAAAGAGAAAATGTTTGCATGATACGGAATATTCCAGAAAACAAAAAAAAGAAAGAAAATGAAAACAAAGCGAAAGTTGTCCCTTATTAATTTACCTTTTTGCCCTTCCAATTATAGTACAAACGAGAATATCCACCATTTTAGTTTGCCGCCACTTGGCTCATTATATAGTAGTATAGATAAATACTCATAGAACAAATAATTTAAGCATCACAACTTCAAGTAAGTTCCGACCTCTAGGTACTTGAACGTAGTTGCCTCTGTAGGAACAACTCCATTTCTACCTCCCGCTTCAATAACCATGTTACACAAAGTCATTCGCTCTTCCATCAGATCAAGCATAAATGAATATGCTACTTGACTTCAATAGAATCCTAGATGTGAAATTACATTATAATCGACTTACACTTAAAACTTTCAACAGTAGAACTAATGAAACAAGGCAGGTTCATACACTGTATGTAGCGCCAGAAACAGTCATTTCACTAATAATCTACCACGAAACAGGGTAGGTTCATACACTGTCAAAGATTATGAAATAAATTACTGTCGGCAGAAAAAATATCTAAACAAATGTAAGATTGAAATCCTAAATACAGATAGTAACAGAATAGAATGTTCAACATCCACCAAACTAACCTGCAAAATCAAATCCTTGGCTAGCAAATAGTCAGGCATGTCCCCATCCAACTGTGCAATGGCCTTCTGAATAGTTAGATTGCTAATTTAATAAAATTATATCTTCTCTACTTTGTGGTAAATTGTTCTTTGTGGCACTTTGTTTAACAAGTGCCTCTACATTGAATCCAATACTTCATAGCAATTATCTCTTTCAAGCTTTTCCGTCTGTAAGAATAACTGGTGTTCAAGGATTAAGATAATATCTATTTTCTATGATTTTCTTGGCTAGGGATTAGGTAACAGAGCGTTAATGTCAAGTTGACATCATTAAAATTTCTTCTTCTTTTTTAAAGAAGTTTCATGCTCCATGGCGAACCCAATGTTAATGTCAGAAAGGCTTCATGGTAATGACGATTACTTTGTTTCTTGACACTGCAGTCAACACAAAAAATCAACTGACAGAAGCCAACAAAGAAGTGCACAACGAACTTTTTTTTTTAAACCTTGAACAGAAGTTTTCCAGTGCCCATGACAAAACCTACATCAGTATTACCAATACTGGTAGCAAACTGATCAAATGCTCCAGCATTGCGGGTGTGTGAATCGGTGCCAAGCAAAACCTAAGCACAGAATCGTAGATATTGGAATGAGTTAACCACTAAAACAACTTGACAGTACGGTAAATGAATTACAAATGATACTCACCTCTCCAGGTTTGCAGTGCCCTTCTTGGGCAAGAGCAATGTGGTAAACACATTTGTAATCTGGATAAGCCTGCAGGATCAAAAGGAAATTAACAATATAGAAGTGAAGGACTCAATCTTAGACATGAAATAAAAATGGTAGTCAAGTTATTTTTCGCCTTTAAAAGCATCAGCTACAATAAAAGAAGATTACAGAAGATACCTTGAAGCCTACAAGGTCTTTAATGTCATAAAAATATTTAATATTCTGTTCATTACAGAAGTCCTCAAGATGTCAACATTCCTGTTCGCACGTTCGTCGCTAGTAAAGATACAATGGTCCAGTACAATAACAACCTTCTTACGGTTCCAAACCTTTAATTAATAGGGGAAAAAGTTCAAGTATTTAGCTAAGAAAAATATCCTCATCAGACTGAAATTTAAAATTTTTAGATACTAGATTAAACCAGAACAAATTCTGTTTTCCCAAGGGAAATACCATGCCTTTATTGCAAAAAACAAATGGTTTCTTGGGAAGGTAAGCAGAGTTTTTAACCAGATCTCATGCAGAAGATGAATAAGGAGCAACACAAAGGCTACATGTGAGTGTGATTGAAGCAGTTACCACAAGAAATTAGCTTTACCACCATCGATCCTGTGACTTTAAGATGTATGAGCAAACTACAATCTACATTAATAATCCAATCTTCCATAAGGATAGAGCATACCTTGATCGACTATCATTTTGTTCGAGATAAAGTTTGGTGGTGGATTCTAAAACAATAACTGTAAAATCAGGGCATGTGATTAATTGATTTAAATTCTCAGGTCATTTTACCAAATCACTGTTTATTTATGGCCAAAAGGAGTTAAGAGATATACCCTTCTCTCTAAACATATATAAGAAATTCCACATAACCCTTCTCTCGAAAGGCGTACTTTTTACAACCCATAAATTTCTCTTGAAATGAATAACAAGCTCAAAGGACGGAACGTTTTGTTGCTCATGCTCAGTGGTCATGAAGTGCTACTTAAATCTTTCCTTGCTTCAAATGTATCATGTTAAATGAGTCCTGGTCTACTCAAAAAAGAAAAACTATATTTAAAGTGAGAGTCTAATTTTTCTTAGAGGTTCAAGCTGAAGGCTATCATCTCTTGCTAGAGGCTTAGGCCCGTCTCTAAAGGAAAAATATTATCAGGATGTTCAGGTTTTGCAAGATCGGCAAAGTGAACAACAACTTTCTTAAGGTAGGTGGGAATTCATTTCAAACCCAAGACTGTACATGTTTAATTACTCAAGGCAAAATATATTCCTCGATCTTTCATTTTGGGGTTGTTCAGGTTGTTGCAAAAATATGTTTTAGTAAATATTGTAGTATCTTAAACAAATGATGTAGGAAATCAATTCTGAACCCAATGTTTGGATATCTGCAATTTTATCATGGGAAATGTATTTCCAGTGCAAATTCAGTATTTGATTGAGAAACAATTGGTGCAAAAGCTACAATTTTCCCATTTGGAATCTGAAAGATATTTTGTAATGAGATGGAAATACTTTTTAGTTTTAAAGATCCATTAAGGATGAACCATTTGTTCCGAACAAATTGCCTGCCACATGTGCTATGGTTTTTTCTATGAATTAAGTTCTTTTACCTTTCTCAGTCATAATGTTCGAAACCAAATGAGTGAAACATAAATTCAGTTGCCTAGTATCTACTTCTCTATACCTATTTCCACACAAGCAAACAGCCCCTTGGTTGCAACCTCATAATGCCTTACATTTTCGAAAGCAACATGATAGAAGTGAATCACAAACCTTGGCGGTTCTGCCCAAACTCCCTCTTGAAGATCCCAATCGTCCCCGGCCCACAAACATCGTGGGTCATCAACACATCAACATTCACCCAAACATTATCCCCAGGCTCCAAGCTCGATCTCTCCGAAGCCCTCGCCAAAATGTTTTCAGTCATGGTCATAGCGTGTTTCACCTAAACAAGAATCAGCAATAAGCAATAACAATTCTGCAATTTCCCAGTCAAATGAAGAGAGCTAAACCAACAAAGAAGAAAGAACCCAACTGAACCAGTGGATGCTGGAGACCGCCGAGGCTGCGGTGGTGCCATGACTGCTAGGGTTTTGTTCAAATCTCGATTTCGACATTTATTTGCAGTAGTTGGACATCCTAATTCCATATATAGAAGAGTAAAGTATACAGAATCAAACTCAGCAATCAATTTAGATTCAGTACAAAAAGGGGCAGAGTTAAAGGAAGGACCTTTTTCCCATAGATACTAGAGCTTTCTTAGCCTACGCAAAAGGAATGAATCTATCAAATTGCAACCTAGCGAGAAATTTATCAAAACAAGAAAAAGATGAGGAAATCGCAGAAACGAAGGCGAAAATGAAAGAACAAACTACCTGCGACGGCGACGGCGGTGACAATGGCGGTGGGCATGGCGGCGGATGAGAGAGACAAGAGCAGAAGATCAGAGGAGCACTGCTGACAGCTGAGAACCGCCTTGAGATAGCGGTTAGTGGGGGTTAGTGGGGTTTATTAGCAAATAACCAACAGGCACTCCCAAACAGTAACTTTTGAGAGTGGGTTGCCGAAAATGCCCTTTTGATATGTTGAGGGTGTTTTTGGAATGGATTTGGCCGGTTTTGGTTTGGGAGAAGGGCAATTTAGTCCTCACACACCCCAAAGTTACTGTTTGGGAGTGTGAATAGTTGGACCCGTTTATTAGATGGTGTAAAGCGTGATAATTTTTGGTAATGTACTTTTAGCTGATAATGTGATTGGGATTTTATTTTAATAGGTTATTCATTGGGATAATGAGATTGTGACCGCTGATGTTAAGTGATCAAATAGTCAATTATATTGTAGGTGTGAGGTTAATGAAGGACTGCTCTCTTCTCCGAATATCTGATTCTGAGTTGAGTAGCTGAAGCCTGCATAAAGAACAGCTCGTGAGAGCACGGGGCTTGGTTCCCCCGACGATCAAGTCAGCTGGTGAATTTGAGTGAGGAAATGAAGAACTGCGTAAGCTCTTTTGTGTAGCGCAATTAGCAGGTGTTGCTTAAGGTAGCTTAGAATAACTTAGATTCCAGCCCCCACTCTGTTAGAATAGTACCACTATTTATAGTGGTGCTGAAATAGCAGAACTGTCATTGTGGTCGAGCACAATATGGCAGTGAAGAAGTATGGGCTGACGGTTGCGTCAGCACCTGCTTTATAGATGTCGGCTGGCGACTAGAAAAAAGATCATCTCAGCATTAAATGAGAAGCGATGAGAAAAGATCATCTCAGCATTAAATGAGAAGCGATTGGAGGCATGGCGGTGCTGACGTGGTCTGATGACTCATGAAGACTATCGGGGCTAAAGGCATGATGGTGTCTGCCACACATTAAATGTGATGCCGACACATTGATAGTGGGAGAGGCTTGAGTTCGAAGTCATTCTCTAACTTGGTCGAGAAGTAACACCTCTCTAGTCGACCTAGCAAAGGGTCGAATAATTGGTCGAGTGGGCTCGTAGCGAGTCCTCCTCGATAAGAGGACCAACAAGTACCGCCCTTCGAGTTATCCTAAGGGGATGTCGACTCGGCGGGTCGACTAAGTTGAGATCCTTTGTAGTCTTGGTTGCCAATTTGATTGGAGCATTGCATGTAGAAGTACACATGTCCGTTGCAGGCACAGGACTACACTTTGACGATTGAAACACCATAACAGTTGGCCCCTTTCGCTTGGAGTCGGCTTGAGCCAGGTCCGAGTGAAATAAGAGCAGCTTGGGATGGACGTGGGTGTGCATTAATGAGGGAGCTGAAAAGTCTCTTTAGATTAGACGTGGCTAACGTCACCACACATTATTTTTGACTATCACAGCTCTGTTTTTCTTGGCAGATTGCAGGCTGTTCGAGGTGAGTGGGCTGCGCCTCGATCCCTGAGATGTCACTTCAAATTCTGACAAATAATCTTAATCGTTAGACAAGGCTTGATCCGACCATTCAGATTCCGACAGCTGTAAAGTCAATTGTATATATATAGAGCTTGAGCCAGGGAGATGGGTCAGATCGGGATCCACTCTACTTGAGGCATCTGGAATTTGGCTTGCCGTAGCCCTTACATCCTTTCCTCCAGCAATTCTTTATGGTGCTAGGGGTATCGCCGACCCAGATGAAGCTGATCGCCATCGCAACTTTGGTGGCGTTCGTGGGGGTTTGCCACTGGTTGGCAATAAAGCCATCCTTGTGGGTATTGGGCCGCCTGGTGACGGTGAAGGTGAACCAGACTGAACCCCACTTTCATTTTCAAATTGTGGGGAAGTTCGTGTAAGTGTCAAAAAATGCTAATAGATATCCCAAGCATAGAGAAGATCACTCAAAAATTCACAAGAAAATGATTTCATACTGTTTTCGAAAAAAATTCAAAAGCAAGTATGAACTGTCTCGCCAGCGGGACAGTCTTTGCTGTCTCGCCAGCGGGACAGTCTTTGCTGTCTCGCCAGCGGGACAGTCTTTGCTGTCTCGCCAGCGGGACAGTCTTTGCTGTCTCGCCAGCGGGACAGTCTTTGCTGTCTCGCCAGCGAGACAGTGTTGAAATAGTCAAAGCTACATTTGTAACTGCCCTACACGTGTCCATTAACTG